AAGAGTGCGGGTATTATGGTCGAGTTGACATTGTGACTTACCGGTATTGCTTCTGGAACGAACAATGTCCAGCAAAGGAATCAATGCGGGTTTGGAATTTGCAGGGGAGGAAAAAGAACGGGCCTTGGCTTTAGCATCCGGTTCCAGCAATTTAATTTCCAGGTGAGATGGTGAGAGTGCAAGATCAAGCCCAACTTTTGCCTCATCAGTTGCGAGCTGAAACCTCTGAACGCTCGTCGAAATTTCTGGCGTTCTGATCGGATCCTCAACCAATATGAGGAACTCATGTTGAACTTCCGTAGCACTTCCTGATGAACCCAAAATTGATGATCTGATAGTGACTTGTGCACCAAGAATGCAATAGACGAATGCTTCATTTGACTGATTCAGCCTCCCCATCCCAGCTTGTGTCAGACCTTCTGACTTGCCTGCCATAAAGAAGTCGAAGTTCCTCTCAACTTTCACCTTATCGTTCCTTATGAAACAAATAAGATTTCCTTTGATGCCTTTTCTGTCCTCATTACTGAATTTTTTTCTTCCAGGGTAGGTTATTTAATGATCTGCTTCTGTACCAACATGACACATAAACGAAAACAGATGCGAGACCATGATTATCGCCTTCTTTGAATCAGAATTCTACCTCTCCGCTGCCCGGCCGAGGGCTCGTCCTAGATGAAATTCCGAATTCTGCACATATTCCTTTAAACGATGGCATTTCATAATTATTATTTATCTGACTGAACGTTGGGTTTCTTGCAAGAGCCGCTTCACTTTGAATTCCACCCATCTCAAAAAGAATCCTTCTGACTGTAAAGTACATGTGAAACATCAGAAACGACTTGATCTGTTCTGGAACCTTATTAAGAACTTCACAAGAGATTCCACGGCCAGTCGTTGAACACCATACTGCGAAGTTGAGCTGATGAGGCCAGTAGCTTATCTCCAGCCCCACAAGCCATCTCTTTGATTCTCCGCTTGAAGTGTGCTGGATTTTCACTCTTGTGCATATTCCTCTGAATTTTGCATTGAAATAGTGGGATGGGTTAATAAAGATTTTGATATCCTCATTCAAGCAGCTGACAGAATGGATCTGCTGGCGCCTTTTTTTTCTATTTGGTTTAGAGTGAATTTGAGGGGAAAACCTCCAATTCCAAGTGCCTGCTTCACGTTACAATCCCAATATCTTCTTTCTGATCCTAAGACCCTGGACCGAACTCCATCTGATCCACTGAAGTAAACTTCAGCTGTTGCTTGTCTTTTAGGCCTTTGGCTCGGCCCTAAAGGGGCTCCACCGAGCGACACTTGTACACTGAACTTACTCAAGTCTGCATTTGGATACCTGCAATTTTATTTGCTTCATCTGATCTTAGTCGCACAAACCCAAAGGGTCAGAAATCGAAGAGTTAAACATTTTCATTGCCTTTATAATCAAAATGGTTGTTTTTGACAATTATCGCCGATTCAAATGATCTCACGGCTCACGTCAAAGAGCTGCCGAAGGCCTACCTCTCAGCAGTGAAAGATATCAACATATTAGGCTAGTAAGCTTTTCTTTTTTCCACTCTTAGTTTAATTTGAAGCGAAGTGGAGAAATCTTTGTATTCAATGCGCAAGACACTCCAACTGTAACGAGAATTTCAGAAAGTAATTATTCACTCAAAAGCCTTGGCCAAGCTCTTCAAGATACATTGAAGAGTGAAGGAGTGGAGATTGAAATGAATACTCCAAAACGAGTTTTGGAAATCCAAAATCCTTAAAATAAGCACATCCTTCTTGACAACGATCTGGCTTATCTTCTCAGAATTGAATGAGGTTTGCAAACCATCAACTTAATCAAAAAGTTGATATTATTCACCAACTACCTTATCCATTGCGATCTTTTTGGATAAAAACGAAAACGTATTCAATGGAGAGCCCTCAAGGATTCTTGGATACTTCGACATTTTTGGGAAACCCTTTGGCAGGGTTAACTGTCATTTTGAAGTCCCAACGGAATGAAAAATATCACCTAGGAATTATGTCACATCTATGCGAATTGTCGTGATAATGATAATGATATTTGAGGTTTGAGTTAGAGATAATTTAATGATAAAAATGTCTCCTGAAAATATTTTGCGAAGCACTTTGGGTCACGGGCCGCTTTATGGCCGAGGCTCTTCGAGCCCAAGCCCTTTGAGGAAGGGGTCATAAAGTGGCCCAAGCTCTTCGAGCCCAAGCCCTTTGGGTCAGGGGCTGCTTGGGACACTTCGTTGCTCCCGGCATGATTTGCTTAACAGCCCAAGCGCACCGCTGATTTATCCAATAATACCAGATGATTTCAGGTTGAGGATGATTTGTGATTGTCAGAAGGACTTTTTTTACAGGCCTGTCTCTAAAGTAAAAATGGTCACGTATGGAAAGCCTAAATCTGTTAACACGGCTGATCTTTGCAATCTGACCTGTGTACTAGGGTGACTAAGAGGGTAACGACCAGGTCGCAAGTTCCCAAATACAACGTGGAGATCGCATTGGTAAAAAGACAGAGACGTAAAGCAGAAAAGACCTGGTGAAGGACCAAATTAACATCGTACTTCCTAACTTTCAAGGAAAAGAGAAACCATGTCACCCTTATTATACATAAAGCACGGAAACTTTTGTACGGACTTTGTAGATGACAATAGTTGTGATCTTGGGAAGCTGTTTAGAAGAATGAAAGCACTCCTCGCGCCGATGGATAATCTCTGTTTTCCTGACTATCGTAATAATCGTGCTCTAGCTGATGACATATGCAGATTCCTTTGTCCCAAGATCATTAATATCGGGAATGAACTTGGAATCATTAAAGCCTCTACGAAAGAAGAGGACAAAGATAAAGACGGTCCTGATGTAATGGAGAATCAACCCACATATGAGTTTCGTCAGCTCTCTCGTGAGGATGTCCGCAGCCTCGTCCAGAAGTCAGCTAAAAAGACCTGTACCCTCGACCCAATACCCACATCTATGGTCGTAGCCTGCCTAGAGGAAATTCTTCTAATAATAACGTGTATACTAAATTCTTCTTTGGGATCAGGTCATTTTCCCCTTCTATGGAAAGGAGCTCTTGTCGCTCCACGTCTTAAAAAAATTTGGGAAAGATATCTCGTTCTCAAACCTACGGCCTTTGAGTAACCTCCAGTTTATATCAAAACTTGCTTAGCGCGAGGTATTAAATCAGGTTTACGAGCACATGATGACGTTCCAGCTTTACCCATTATAACAATCTGCTTACCGCACTGGTCACAGCACAGAGACCATGCTGCTTAAGGTGCACAATGACATTCTGTTAAGCATGGATAAACAGAGGGTCACACTGCTGGTGTTTCTAGACCTAAGTGTGGCCTTTGACACTGTCAATTACCAGGTGTTGCTCAAGCGATTAGAATCTAGCTTTGGAATGTCTGGGACTGCTCTTAACTGTTTCAAATCATACCTCGACGGAAGATCTCAGCGCATCTGTGTTGAAGGCTGCTGCTCTAGGAAGTTTGTTCTACGCTATAGTGTCCCTCAAGGTTCATACCTTAGCCCACTATTGTTTACAATCTACGCTAGTAAGCTGTTTGAAATAGTCAAGGCTCACCCTCCGGATGAGCACGCCCACGTAAACGATACTCACCTCTATCTATCCTTTAAGCCGGATTATTAGGACAACCAAACTGAAGCCGTGGATGATGTGCAGGAATATATTGAAGAGATTAGGGTATGGATAGCGGCGAGCCAGCTAAAGCTTAATGAAGACAAAACCGAGGTCATCCTAATTGGTACTAAGCAAGAACTCGATAAAGTGAATATTGCACACCTAGAGATCGGTCAAGCATCAGTGCCAATTGTAAGTTCTGCCGTCCGCAACCCTGTTGCGTGGTTTCACGTTAACCTTAAAATGACAGAACAGATCAACAAGACTTGTCAATCAGTTTACCATCACCTGCATAATATCGGACAAGTAAGGAGGTCCTTGACGCCTGTCTCCACGAAACTGCTTGTACAGGCAGGCATTGATTACTGCAACGGTCTTCTTTATGGTGCACCAGCTGTGCATCTTTCCAAATTGCAACGTCTCTAGAATTCCGCAGCGCGACTTATCACCCAAACACCCAGATACTGTCATATTACCCCACTGCTGCTTGCACTGCATTGTTTACCGATGAAGTTCCGAATTTGCTATAAAATCGCTATGATCTCTTTCAAGGCTATTCATAATATGGAGCCTGCGTACTTGAGTGATCTCATAAATATTAAACAATGTTCTCGCTAGAACCTGCGGAGTAGTGTGGGCGTTATTTTGCAAGATCCTACCGCTAAGTTCAGATGCACTCTTGGAGACAGATCATTCACTGCGGCTGCTCCAAAGATATGTAACAGTTTACCGGACTATATTAGGAAAGAGAGTGATGCTGGAGGGGCCGTGGTTTTTATGAGAGGCCAACGGTCCAATTTAGCGATTTACCCCGAGTGTGAATACTTTTTATAGAAACGATAGGATTTCTTTATGATTTACCCATTGCAGCCGATTTATGAGGACCTATGAGGGAACACCATCTAACAACAGGAATAATGAGGATCGAAATGCACCAATAACAGCATACCAACGTGCTACAAATAGCAACACGTAAACAATCGACCTCGACCTCATCGCCTGATAAAAACTAGCGGCATTGCAGTCGAAACGTGGCGATCAACGTCAAAAGTGACTTCATCGTGAGACAAACTAGCAAAGTTCATCTCCTGATATAATATTTATTGAGAACATAATAATACCCATACATGACATACCTACCGCAAATTGATGACCACACCGCTGACAAGGAGCCAAAATGACTGTAGTCGAGATTACTCAATCTCGAGCCCAGGGTCATTTTGGCTCCCTGTCAGCGGTATAGTCGCTAAATAGCAAAATGGAACAATTAAGGAACCTGATCTCGAGATTGGCCGCTTAACGAAAACTGGCCGAGAAGACCCTGGGACTACCGAAACTGAAACTTCTAACGTAGGCAGGAACTGCTTCGGAGAGTCGTACATTGTGCTAACGTAGGCAAATTTTATGCTATACCTTCGGTTTCCTTCTTTTGAACTTAAAACTTAGCTGCTTTGTTTCGCACTAAACGGAGGGGTTTATAAAAACATACGATAGCAATGGATAACGTAACTGATAACGTTCAATTTGAAGACAAGCTACCAGATCGTTATGTCTGTCCTCTGTGTAAAAAGGTACTGAAAGATCCATTACAAACTTCATGTGGCCACAGATTTTGTTCGAGATGCTTGAAAGCTTCCGTAAGGTAAGTTAGAACGTTTACTGCCGTGTGAGCTTTACCTTAAGTTATGTTTTTATTGTTAATTTTGTTGCGTGCCACAAGCGGTCAGCTTGGCGGCTAATTAATGTCCCATCGACTCTAAGTTTTTGTAGTCGTGTTTTCCAATGATCGGTAAAACATGAGAAGTCAAGGCTACGTATATATTATTTTTCAATCCGTTGATTCACATTTACACTTGTGATTGGCTGTGTTTTCGCAAAGTGGGATGTCTCCCTTAACATTTCTGAAAGTGTTTTGTTTACAGCATCGTTAAAAGATTTTAAATTGACAGTTGTAAAATTGTAGATCGTCATAGTAAATAACAGTAGTAAGACTGAGTGAAGCCCAATTCGTGCCATATTATCCAAATTGGATGATTGCAAAGTGGACATGACATTTGTTAATCACGAGTTGATTAATCAAAGTGATGAAAAAACTGAAAAATAAACCAGTTAACCTTAAGTTACACTTTTCAAAAGAAAAACAAAAAACAGTTCATCTGATATAATGTAATATGATGGGAGATGCACAGTCATAGCATGTTGCTTAGTGCTTTTCATTACCAAAGATGAAAGGAAGGACATATAGAAATGTATCATCTGAAGAAGGGAAGGTTCTGAGATCATGAACTACAGAAATATTCATCTTGTTTTGTTGGAGACATAAATTAGAAGGTGTGTTCTGTTTCCAATTTAAAACCCTTAAGTAATGGATGGATGACCTCTCATTAGCAGAAATTATTTGAAGACTGGCTCGAGCTACCTTGTTGGGAGGTGTAATTTTAATGACAAATTCATTGAAGTTTGCCAACTTCCTTAACCAGGGGAGTTGGGAAAACCATTGTAAACCATACTCATGATTTTTGGTTGTCACCTGTTACATAACTTGAAAAAAAGCATTTGTGAAAAGACAGCCATTGTGTGATTCATCTTTCTTCAAAGCATAATGACAAGGCCACTTTTAGTGACTAGTGTTGAAAACTGTCTGATGGCAATACCTTGAAAATTTAGGAAAGACTTGCAACATTCAAGTGTCACACTTGTTTGTACTTGAAGATTTGTGCCTAGGTTTTACTCAATCAGCAGTCCATGTCAGGACTTTCTTCTTCTGCTTTTGTTGTATATCACAATTAAATCTTTCTTCCATGTTCAAACCAATTCTTTTCATGACAATAACCAATACATTACATATATTGCTTACTATCTAATATGTTATACTACCAGATACATAAACTCTTAGCCTGTTATGTAGTTTAAAATGTTAATAAATAACAATTTATGTTTCTCTTAAATGAAACCTTAAGTCTGGAAGGTCTGTGTCCAGTAGATGGAGAGAATGTGAATCCATTCTTTCAAGATATCTCTTGTCAGAGGGAAATATATCAGCTAATTTGTTTCTGCAACAATCATGATGTTGGCTGCACATGGAAGGAAAAGCTACAGAATCTTGCGGTAAGTTTCTTCTTTAAATAGATTAAGTCAAACCTCTACCACTCTTTCATTATGGAATTAGTCATGTTTTGTGGAAGTGAAAGAACTATCTGCAGCTGTCCTTCTTAATCAGCTTCTGACCACCCATTTAGTTCCCATATTTTCTGCACACTTTGTAGACAGTTAGGTTGTGCATAAGATGATTTCTGGATGTAAAGTTGACAGTATGAGATAGTTCAGATTCAGTAACCTTACCTTTGCATTAATGGTATTATTTTAATGACACACACATCTATACTTCCTTGTCACCTCTTACATACATGTCGATGTTAATTGACATTTCAGTTGACTATATTTTCTCTTCCTTTTTTACTTTACAGGAACACCTAACCCAGTGTGATTATAGGAAACTTCCTTGTCCAAACTCAGGCTGTAACATCCAGTTACTGGCACAAGATCTGCAGGAGCACATAGAAAGGAACTGTTTATACAAGAAGATACCTTGTCAGTGGTGTGAAATGCTAATAACTGAAGCTGAACAAAAGGTGTGCTTTACAGAAATGAATCTTATGCTTCATGCAGAATTGACTAATGGTACCAGGGCATAGCCATCATTGCAAATCCCTTCTAGCTTGTGCATTCAACTTGTGAAATTTATTTAATTTACTATTAATTCTTCATCCTCTCCATTTTCAATTCTTCTTCCATTTTTCCCATTTCTCATCCATCCTAATTTCCTCTGAGGTTAAAGTACATTTTTTCCACTTATTTTTTAAAGCCAACTTAATCTTAGGCTCCTTTGAGAATAGTTTGAGAGAAACCATGCTGTTATCATGTATGGTATTTTTGATTAAGGTGATTCCCTGGTTTTGCATTGCGCACCTCTACTGCGCATAACATTGCGACATCCAAGATGGGGGCCGCTTTTAAAGCTGGTATCATAAAAAAAGACAACAGAGGCCGGTTTTGCAACAACAAAACACTAAAGCACAGAAAATATGTATCAGATAAAACGAAAAATAGGTGTCCTGCTTATAAAAATCAAAATTTTGAAACTTCAGTAAGCGAGACTGGATTATGGGGAGAAACTCGTTCCAGTGCCCTCTCAGAAAAATGCACAGCAGAAGTGAATTTGTCACCTTCACCAAACAATTGCAGAAAAACAGGCATGGTGACCCCCCAGTTTTATTCCACGTATTGAAAGAAAATGCCATCCTCCATAATATATCCAACTTTGAAGATTTTTTCATTGTAGATGTTCAAATATTCTTTTCGGATAATTGTTGCAATGCGATGTTAGGTGTTTTGCCCGAGGGAGTAGTACTGGTCGGCAGGTGGGCCTATTACTTCACCACTTTGATGTTTTTGAAAATGTTTTAGTAGTTTACCACAACACTGTTGTGGGATCATAGGAGCAGAACATTCTTTTCGAATTCACTGGCTACTTTCTAGAAGTAGTGGGTACTTTACACTCTAGGATAGGATTTTCAATTCTGGTATCACAAGCTAACAGAGTTGTTTTTTATCATAGCCCAAAAACTCAAAAACTAGCATGGTGACCCCAACTTTTTATTTTATATTTTGGATTAGCTTAGTGTAGTTAACAATTGTGCAAAGTTAAAAAGAAATGCCATTACACCTTCTTTTTTTAAGGAAATCACTGTAAGGTTGTGACCAATATCTAATGGTATTCTTGTCCACATTTTGTCAGGATCATGAGGAGACCTGCACAAGGTTCCCACTGTCATGTCCTGAAAGGTGTGGTGAAGTGAATATACCCCGTGAGTTATTGGATGATCATATCCAGAATCACTGTCCTTTAGCCCAGATAGTTTGTCCATACAGTATTTCTGGATGCTCTTTTAAGGTGAGTCACGGAGACGCGTAAAGGAACTTCATGCCTTTAAACTGCATAATAAAACTATTATGTGGGGAACAGGTAGTACTTTTGTTGGTACTTATTAAGTCAGGTTTAGTTTCACCACAAACGTGAACCTACAGGGCCAGTTATTTAAACAAAGTTTAGACGTTATTTAACCAAACCGTGTTCTAATCTATCTTGAATTTAAATGAATCTTGTGAAGAGTTTGAAGCAGTGAAAGGAAATTTATTTAATGAAAACAGCTCTCTAATAGTGGAAAGTAAGACCCATTGCTTGCGTAAAACTGCGGTTTGGGTCAGACCTCGTGTAATGGACCGGCCCAGAGCGTTTGAAAAGCTCATTAAGTGTTGAAAAGAAAAACAAGACCTTAAAAGGATTTCAATGAAAAGGAACATTTTGTGAACCTTCAATTCCATTCTACTGATTAGAACCCCCTGTCTTTTTTATCATTTAGTCTAAAGGCTATGCAGTCTCTCTTGTACAGAGATGTGACAGATCAACACCTCATCAAGAGCACATCAGCCATAAACGTAGGAAATCTCTTGAATGCTTATGCATTCCGTGATTTCCGGGCACTAAGGATTTTGAAGGGTTATGTTATTAACCCTTTCACTCCCAAAATCTCATTAGTAATTCTCCTTACTGACTGTCATGAAATTGTAACGATTTTAATTCAGAGAATTTGGTATTGTATCAACTAAAAATCCTCTAATTTGATGAAATACAAATTCTCATCACATTCATGTGAAGAGTGCACACATTTGCGTGTAGTGCATGAGGGAGATCTTATTTATTTATTTTTTGGTAATACTTAATTGGGCTGGCCCAGTTCAGCTGCAAAGTAGTGAAATATTTCTACTGCACGCGCGTAACTACACGCACCGAAAGTGTGTTTAACTCACGCGCATTACACGCACTTGACGCGCGCTTGGGGGTTTGTAGTACACGCGAGCGGCACTTGACTTATGCATGCATCGTCGCCCAATTATGATCGAGGTTTGCCTGCGCAGGCGTAATTTTAGCGAGCGAGTGCTCAGTATTTTCTAACGAAAATTATGGCCGCCATCTTTGGTTTTAATGGCAGCGGAAGGCTAGGGAGAGAAAGAAATTTGTACCAAGAGAGCGGTCGTCGGTCAAAAATCACGAGAAAGGTAGGGGTGGGGAAGTGAAATGAAAAAGACAGTGCCTCTGGTTTTTAATTTAACTCATTTTCATGGGGTTACCCGCCCTTTTTACGGAAATGCAGTGAAGCGCAACTAATCAAGGGTTGTTTGGCAATATAGCAGCCTCTTTGGGCAGGTGTCTTTTCGCCCTTCCCCCTCCCCCTACCCCCACCGTCCACTCTAACTCCAAATCAAACATGGCCAAGCGGATAAACGATCGCGAGCGTATAACGTTAGCTCGCACTTATAAGACGCCTGCACTGTAGGCTAGAACGAGGTATTTTTTGTTTGATCTTGGAATGAAAGAATTCTGTTGAATATGAAAATTACTATTCTTCTTATTATTATTATTATTATTATTATTATTTTTTATTTTTTTTTTCTTGATTGCATCTAAGGGCCCCAGAAACGCCGTGGAAGAGCATTGTTCACAGCAGACCAAAGAACACCTGGACTTTACGGCTAGAAGTTTTACTAGATATAATGAAAAACTTTCAGAGATGGAAAAAACAACTAGGACTTTAACAACGGAGAAGCTTAGTCTGCAGACACAGCTTGATGATCAAAGGGAAGCTCTTGCTAATGCTGTGCGCGACATGCGTGTTGTTACTACTAAAGTTGATCATATTGATCGGACCTTATCCGATCACAAGAACAACTTGAGTGGAATTCAGCAGAAGCTCGTCAGTTTATCCAATTTACCGTCCATAGAACAGGTGTTGGCGCAGCTGGAGGAATTTAGACAGGCAATCCGAGAACATGAAGTTTTAATTACAAGCTTAAAACGGGAAGCGACAAGGGTTGTGAATAACACTAAGGTGGCAGCAGGGGCAGAGCACGGTGCTGCAGGGTCCAGTTCATCGCGGCTCGATAGACACGAGCATCAGCTAGCATTGCATGATATCAATCTCGCCGAACAAGATATTAAAATTCAAATGCTTGAGGCCACATCCTATGAAGGAATGTATATTTGGAAAATTGATGTTTGGCCGAAAAGACTTCAAGAGGCGAAGAGCGGCAGGACGCCTTCCATATACAGTCCTCCGTTTTATGTAGGTCGGTTTGGATACAAAGTTTGTGCGAGAGCTTATCCGAATGGTGATGGCATTGGTAAAGACGAGTACATGTCTCTGTTTTTTGTAGTTATGAAAGGTGAATACGACGCCTTATTACCTTGGCCATTTCACCATAAGGTGACCTTCAGGCTGTTGGATCAGGGGGGTTCAGCGGATGTTACAGATTCATTCCGTCCTGATCCTAACAGTTCCAGTTTCAAGAAACCTACATCAGATATGAACATTGCATCAGGCTGCCCGACCTTTATATCACATCGCACCTTACGGACCCGGGGATATGCTCGGGATGATACGTTATTTATTAAGGTAACAGTAGACACGGGAGGTCAAGTTTACTGAAGCGTATGTCGTCTATAAATAGATGTTCATATCATCGTGATCGACGCGTGATACGAAAGGGCCATCGGTAATTAAATGGCTGCAATTTCCAGTGAACCTCTGAAAAGAGAAACAATGGAAAACGGAAAACGTGGAATGGAAAACGTGTTTCTAGAGAACATTATAATAACTCGACATGTAACAAATACTCTACATTGTAGTCGCACTTTCGTCGCACTGTGGCGAAGACGTTTTAAAGATAGGAGGTAAAATGAAACGTACATGTTTCTCATGAATAATCGATGATTGATCAAAGAATAAGATTTCTCTCTCTTCCTCCCTCGAGAATGTACCCTGGTTGCGGCTGGTTACGTCATCATGCAGAATCTCCCAGAATTTGGCAAATTTCTGAAAGGAAACTAGTCGAGGGGGTCACTGGTAAAGTTTTGTCACCACTAGCTTAACATGAAAGGCGAGAATTTCTTGATAATGAATAATTTTTGCAGCGGATCGACCTATTTTATCATGCACGTAGTAGCATTTATGTGATTTCAGTTTTCATCACTTACACGTTGTGAATCTTGAGAGTAAGTTTTGTAGAAATAGAAGTACACGAAATCGTCGTTTATCGTTACGTTATGTCATGAATTTGAGTTTTCATTTTTTTTATGCGAGTTTCGATGCATATAAATAGTATTTGTTCGCTATTTTCTCGATTTCGTTTGGAATTTATTCACACCCTTAATTTTAGTTCGCATTGTTTTCCTTTATTTACTTTGGACTGAATCATTAAGCATAAGTCGTGGGACCATGTTTGAAGTCGCTTGTGTACTTTCTTTGTTCGAGCGATTCGGCCTCTTCCTCCCCAAACAGCGCTGATTGGACCCCTTCTCTCTAAGGCTTGAAGTCTGGTCGTATATAAAGGCATTTGACGGGAAAGAACAACTATCACCAACGACTTTCAAAGATGTGTTTGAACACATGGAGCCCGAGCTATCTATGAGAGGTTACTTAATACTATATAGCTTTGTATATCCGCTCTGTGACTTTGTAAATAATAACGCAAATAAAATCTAACCTGCATATAGTGTTGTGTCATTGTTTGTTCTCTGGTAGCAATTTCGGGCGATTTCGGTAAGTTTTAGCTGAGCTCTCATCATACCACCGCCCCACTAAGAAGAAGGAAATGGAAGAAGGCTTCGTCAGACCAATGGACTGACCCGCTCTTGAAAATCGCTCGATTCTTAGACGAAACCACGTCTCCTTTCCTCGAGACTCAGCATTACGAAAGCCAGATGGTTGTCATTTAAGCTTATCGAAAAATATTTTACAAAAGTTCCGCCGTCGAGGAATCAATTCAGCGAGAGTTTCAAATGAAAAGCCACTTTGAAGTCCTGTCAAACCCGCTTGTGCAACTTCCTGTGCAATTCGGAGACCGTTACGACACGACCGGCCTCGACACGAGTCAAGTATCGCTCAAAGAGCACCCCCAGGGTTTGATTTACCAGACAAATACTCAGCCACCCGTCAGGTGTCACCTGAGGGGTGCCCTTCGGTAAGGATATCGGTCTGACGAAGGGCTAACGCTCAAAACGTCAGCTTTTTTACTCTTTACGGTGGCTAATTTACGTTTTCAACCCAGTTGTTAACACTAAATCACCTGCTATACTCTCCCACAGATGCAGCACCACAGTTTCTTTAGAAACTTACCCCTTTATTCTTCGGTAAGACCGCTGACCATATACTGTAGTGTCGCGTCCCAAACTGGAGGGCACCTGGGAGAGCACGTGAGCATGTTCGTTTGACACAAGATGACACAGATCGTAAAACCGTTTAGGTAAGTACAGGTTGACCTTGTCGTGGCTATGGTTTCACAATCTATTAGTAGTTTTCAACTTTAAGACGTTACGGTAAGATGGATTTTGTAAAGGAAATTCCGTTACTCAATTCATAGCTCTTTTTGCACGATCATGCGGCGGCAACACTTAGGTGTGAAAGAATATTGCGTTGGACTCAAACATGATCCTCGGTTGCTTTCGAAATCTACTTTTTAGTTATTTGGAATATCTTTGCAACGATTAATTCTAATTTTTTCTCAACTTGTATATCCTAAATGTAGGTTTAATTCCATGAAGTTATAGAAGAGATTCTATCGAATGTGCGCAGAGGGAACCTGATCACACCAGAGGTACGTCACCGTATTTCAGGATCAGTGCGTCTCAAAGGTTTGCGAACCATTTTCATTATGTCAGTGGTATTTAAGTTTCAAAGCCTACAGTTATTCTACTGCATTATTCAGACTAAGCTTCCTGTCCTTAAAGATGTTTTGATAATCTTTCTGATCTCGGCTTATATGTTTAATATAAGGTTGACAGTTGCATGATTGCCACAAACCAACCCTGAAGCCCCAATCTCTTCTCAAATGTTATAAGGTTACATTATTGTTGCTCGTTTTCTTTTGCAAACTTGGAGGCATCTTAAGGAGCTTTCTTTCGTTGTGGTTTTTGTTGAGTTCTTTAGTTCCCATGTGTCGGGTCTTTGAGATGAGAACAGGTTCTCAGCATCTGTGCGGTGTCTCTTCTGTCATTGTGTACTTCTCCCAGCTGTCAAATGGCATTGCCTGCAGGTTTCCATACTGCTTCTGCTTGACCTGCTTCTACTGGACCTGCTTCAGTTTCCTGTTTGAGATAACTCTTATGAGGATGGTTGTAAGTCTTGCCTCTCTATCCAGGAGCTTGATTAAGCAGTTTAGAGACAATCCACACTGTCCACTCACACATCAATTCCAAGCATTGTGGCACCCCACAATGTTGTTGTTGGTTCTGATGGCCTGCTTGTAGATGCCCCAGTTTTTTGGTGGGAAAACCATAATTTTGATCCATTGTTGTTTGTTGTAGTTGACAAGTTGTGGTTGATCTGGTGGGTTTACAATCATTTTGTTTCATAGTTGGATCATTAATAATATTTAACTTTGTTTTTCGAGGGTGGCACTTGACAGTAAAAAATACTCATAAACTTGTGGCTCTCAAAAACAATTTAAAAATAAACACAAATACATGAAAATAATGAAGTAATCAAGACTAGGTGATGAAACAATTAAAATATGAATGTTCTAAGGATTAATATAAAATATATTAGAATAAAATAGAATAGCCTAAGCCATAGTAAAGTGATGAACATCTTTATAGGACTCAAAAAAATACTTATATAAGATTTCTTTAAAATGTCTAAACTAGAGCTACTCTTAATTTCATTGGGAAGTGAATTCCAAAACCTAGTGGCTGATACTTGAAAGGTCTTAAGCACCTTCTGATTCTCCTTTATACTTTGGACAGATTAAATTCGAAGACCCATATCTACTTTGTCTTTCAGTAGAATGTATGTTGATGTTTTGTTTGAGTAATTCTAACATATAACCAGGACACACCCCATTCGAATGCTTATAAACTAATGCCCATTGATTAATCGTAGCTTCATGAATAAAAGGTAGCCAATTGAGTTCTCTAAACAGATCTACACTATTTGATCTAGTATCAGCATTGAGAATAACGCATGCAGCACACTTCTGTAGCCAGTGATCCATCTAGAAAAAGGCAGTAGTGAGTCCAGGGACTCACACAGCCAAAATCCAGTGAGTCCCACAGGCAGGATTGTGAGTCCCACACTCATCGTTATATGAGTTGTACCTATGAATAACACATACAATTAAAAGAGGTTTATATTTTACTAGTTACTTTCAGGAGATTTTTCCAACTTTTCTTTCAGTTCGTCATCAATTACATCTGAAAGGCATTGTAAGATATCATCTGAAGTTGTGTAAGAATTGTAACTGATGTTGGTTTGTTTCAAAATCGCTATGTCCTCAAGCCCCAAATCGTGAAGAAGTTCAAGTAGCGATTTGAATTTTACCAGTGGGATGCTCTCTATATACAGCCACTGTACACATTTAAAAAGCACCAGGACGGCTTTATTCTGCTTTGTTTCACCTTTTCTCAGGCTTCCTCCAATGACTTTCTTATCTCAGGGCCTTGGAGAGCCATCTTGTGTTCAAGGAGACCAGCATGCCAATTTAGCGTGGTGTTTTGAAAATTTCAGCACTGGGCTTCCTTACTCATTCTGTTCAATTTGCTAGCCTCTGAGCAGACTTTACAATACATATAATCTCCATTTTTTTCATAGACCAACCACGATTATGTTTTGAGCCATGGCTCAAAAAATCTTTGTTCCTTACATTTCGCAGATTTCGCTTGTGCTGATTCTTCATTGTCTTCATTTGCCTTTGCCTCATCCTTCTCTATTGCAGTTGCTGCTGCTTGTTCTTGATGTTTACTTGCTTCAGGCCGTTTTCCAAATGAGAGCTTTGTTTGCCCCCCCATGGGCTTAAGTTTTTTCTTTGGTGGCATTTAATTTTCAAGAATAACTATGTCCACCTTACAAAAGCAAGCAGGAAGAGACAGAAAGCACATGTATGGAATTGATAAACAGACACTTCTGTAAAATACTGCTGATTATGAAAATTTAGCCTGTAGTGACCAGAATGTAATGGTGTTTGCTTTAGAATCACGTGCTGCTTACTTTGATACGTATTTTGAAATTTTTCCTAAATAGAGAAGAAAAGTCATCAAGTCAAGATTGTAATTGAGAGAAGGTAATTTTTTTGCATCCAATGGGATGCATTTGGTACTAAATTTGTGCATCTTTTAGGAAAATTATGAGTCTGAGATGCGGGACACACAGGTAGATGGATCACTGAGTCAGAGATGGTAGTGCGGCAGGAGCAGCAATCTTAAAAATCTTGGTGCTGATGCCACCATCACCTGTTACTTTGTGACTTGGAACAAAAGCAGTTCAGAGACTCGTTTTATAGTTATACTCAGGATCACAAATGCATGTTCAACTTGATTAATGGCACTTGGGTTCTGAGCCACATGTGTGCTTTGGGTAGAAATCAAATTCTTTGGATAATCAATAAAGAAGGTATATCATAGTTCAGCTGTACTGGTTTTGTCCGTGATGACATTGCCACTATCAATCAACTTTTCAATACTAGATTGAGATTCATCATCGTCACATGACAAACTCTTTATGAGATTCCATAGTTTCCTGGTGTTTATTTTGTTTTCACTTATTGTATTCTTATAATAAGCCTGCTTTCTCCTCCTGATCAAACTGGAGACACTGTTTTTTTCTTGTTTGTACAGGTCCCAGTCTCTTTCCAAATTACTTTTTCTTGCTTTCTTTAGTGAATTATCTCTTTTTCTAATTTCTTTCAAAATATTGACATTGAACCACTTGGGTTGATTTCTGCATTTTACTCTATTTTGTTTGAGTGGGAGATGTTCATTAACTTCTGCTTTAAAAATCTTGGACCAAGTGTCAACAATGTCATTTATGTCGTCAAAAAGAAAAGTGCAATCCCAAGGTGCCTTTTCAAGGACTTGGAAAATGTGGCTTTGTCTAGGTTTTTGATGTTCCTGTAGCTTATGGTATTGAACCTGCTATTGTTAGATCTTGTGCGATTATATTTCCTTGTAGCAACAATAGGAAGGTGATCAGACATCCCAGAAGGGATAACGCTAATATTGTTTAGGTGTTCAGGATGACTGCACCAAATATGGTTTAGGCAAGTCTTTGACAATGGCCTTGTGATGCTGTTTACAACTTGGGTCAGATTGAAGCTGTGTAAAATTTTCACAAGGTGGTATTTTTTAAAATTAGGGGGAAATGAAAAAGTCACATTTAAATCTTCCAGTAAGATAATCTCCTAGTTGAGTAAATAGGCATTCTCAATATTACTTCCCAGTATTTTGTCTTGCTCTGTGTTGTTAGATGGAGGGCGATAGACACCAGCAGTTAGGAGAAAGTGCTTTGATTTGTAAGGAAAAACCTCAAGTCATAAAGCCTCTACTTTATTGTTTTCCAAGTCCATGCGTTGTTTTTGTTTTAAAGAACTGATCCATGCCATGATGCTGCCTCTGCTCTTTTCAACTCTGTCCTTGTGGTGTAAATTAAAGCCAGGAACAGAATGATATGAGTCTGGTATTTTAGGTTGCCAAAATCTTTCAGTAATGATTAAGGCATCCACATCAGAATGCAAATTAGTGACAAAGAGCTTCAATTCCTCAAGCTTTGAGTCAGTTAATCTTTGGACGTTCCAATGGCAAAACTTTAGGCCAGATGGTCTGCAGTTTAAAGATACATCCCCAGTACAGAGAAGTAGAAGTTGAGCAATTAGAAACCACTTTGTCAGTCAGAGAGATGCATTTGCTTTAGTCTAGCATGTTGTTGGAACAATAGTGGACTGTTTACTACAACCAAGTGGAACTGAAGGCCTTGATAATTTGCAACTAATTGCAAGTTTGGCAGAAATTTCACTAGAAATTCGTGGACTTGTTTTGTATGTCAACCACTCTATCATCTTTCAATATAACAAAAAAGACAAGAAAAAATGGAAGGTTTATCAGAGCCATTAGAAACATCGCCACGTGGCTCACATTCCAATAATTGCAAAGGGGAAAAGTACAGTAAATACAGTACAAAGTTCCGTGATGATTAGGGAAAATGTGTGTAACTGTTTGTTGTAGCAGATAGCGATGATGGTGGTTGCTCTAAAGCTGGAATGGATTACTAAAATTTTTGGGTTCATTTATACCCATGCTATCAGATCTGAAACGGTAAGTGTGATATAATGTATGGTTACAAAGTGTAAAATAATGCATAGTTCTGATTCATTAATGTCATGGTTTCAGCATTGTCCTTTGTGGCAGGCTGTTGTCTGCTGGGTAATGAAGTTTGCATGCCTTAGTAACATCCAACAGATTACAGGAAACAGCTCTCTTGTGCATTGGTATGGTAGAGTTAGCAAACATGGATTGGATTACCAAGGGACTTCAAACTTGGCTTATATTCACATGGCTGGCTCAAGCTGTGTTGGCAAATGGCAATGATAGATTTGGATGTAGGAATATAAAAACTTATAAAGGTGACAGTGCATGAATTAGAAGTGACAGTGCATGAATTAGAAGTGACAGTAACATTTGAAAATGTAATCAAAGGTAACTACTCTATTGAATATCCTGGTCCTTTTCTCAATAATAACCAGTTTTTGATTAGAAATCAAAGTCATGATGTTGGTAATTTCATCACTCTACTGACCAGACTTTATACGGTGTCATCATATTGGATTACAATTTCTCTGTTTGGTATGAAAATCAAATTATTTTTTGTCATGAACATGCACCAAATTTGTACACATTTATCTATTGTAGAAGAATTTGAACTGTATTTTATTCCAAGGATTTTTGGGTTTGATTTCTAAAGGTTACAGCACTCCAAGGGGTCAAAACTTCTCCTGGATTGCACAAGATTCCATAGATTCACTAAAGGTTCACAGATCATCAAGATGGCTACAAGAACACAACACATTTTTTTTTCCAGGCTCTCTCCCAGAAGGCCTAGCAAGCTCCTAAACTCTTATGTCATCATGCACATCTATTGTACCAATTTAAACTAATAGTGCAAAAATTTTCAGAAAAATTAATATGATGCAAACAATCATTTTGGGGGAATAGCAGTAACATTGCAAAATTTAAACAAGTTAACATCTAACTTAAATGTTCTGCTCCTTTTCTTTTTTGACAAGAATCAAAATTCATGATGTTGGTAATTTCATTACTCTACTGACAATATTTTATACTCAATGTCATCATATTAGATAACATCTTTCTGTTTGCTTTGAAAATCAGGAGCTTGATATTACTGGGTATTGTTGTCACTTATAATTTCAAAAGTTGGATCCAGTGCAGGAAGAATGCATTGAAGCTGTTGGTGTGGCAAAGTGAAACAAAGCTTTTTGTTTCAGTTGTGACTAATATGCAGAGATTTCACACTATAAGGTAGTTTGTAACACCACAGGACTCACAGTCTCCCATTATGTTAGAAGCCCATGGGACCTATGGAGGTCAGACGCTTTTTTTTGCTCTCCATAATGTTCGTGTGCTTTCTGACTTCAGGGAGTTTGTTTACTTATAAATGTAAGTGGAGGAGTCCTGCTAACATCCAGCCCAAACATTTCTGGCATCTGTATCTGAAGGAAAGTCATTCTCTGGCTCTTGAGACCACTTTTTTCTCCTCATCATGTCTGTGCTTCAATGAAACTTCTGAAATTAGCATACTGTGGAGATGTGGTCCACTGATTCACCATGGGGAATTTAGAAACGCATTGTTGTCTTTGTTAGTGAAGTACCAGCGTATTGTCCATCCAGATGAGTAGCACAGTCACATAGCCATTTGCTGTAACATAGTTAAAAAATAACTATTTTTTTATTTTTTCACTTTTTATCACTTTTTGACTTTAATTTTGATCAAAATATACATTGTAATCAATATCTGTAAATATTTTTATTATTTTGCATTAATAACACTAATTTTGGTATTACCCACAATCCCTTGTGGGCGTGGCACATTTTTGGTTTTTCATAAAATCTTAAGAAAATCAATGTAAAAATGGAAAAAAAGAGGTTTTGTAATCATTAGTTCACATTGAAGCAATGATTTCCTCATTTTCTTTTAAAGGGAGTTTGTAAATAGACTTTCGTCCTCTCTTTCTGACTGGTAGGTCACCGCAAATGTGACGGACAGTAGCAGCATGTACAAACGCTTTCCGTTTTTCGTCAATTGTGAAGGTCATGTCATGAATGTTCTCCCTTATGTAAAAGTGCCCCTTAAGAACTCTGTCTCCTCTGTAATAATGACACTGATAGTCATCTGTGACATTACTGTCAAGTTCTTCAACTCCATCAGAAGTGACCTGAAGGAGATAGAAGTCGTAGACAGGATCATCTTCAGCGGCTATCGCAACTGTACTTCCCTTGCTGGCCAGGTCAGCTATGTAGGAAGCAGTATCATGGTCTAAAATTGGTGCTTCAGTTGCCTGTCGAGTGGTTGCCACATCACCCTCTCTGGTTAGCTCCACCAGCTTCCATTCATCAAGCCATGCCTTGTTAGTGCAATTCTCCTCATCATTCACAATGCAACTGATGCAGTAACATGAGCAAATCATACTGCCTGTTGCTTTTGTCATAAACTACTAACGGCTTTTGACAATGCTTTGGACAATTTCCGCCTTCTTTCGGGGTGTGGAAGGGAGTGTCTTCTTGACTTTATCAATAGCACGTTTTTTCGACGTCCGGTTTGCGAAACCTGGAGAATCCACGCTGTTATTAAATTCTTGTGCTTCTGTTCGCTTCTTTTCACGGTATTTTCTAACTCTTTCTCTTGTTTGCTGCCTTGTCTTTTCTCTTTTTTCTTGTGCTGCGATACGGGAAGCTTTTCTGTGCTCCGTTGCTTTTTGTTGGCGTTTGTTTTTTTCGGCAATGCTTCGTGTGTGCGGCCGAATTGATTTCTCGGCTTGCAATTTCTTTCGCCGTTCTTTAACTTGAGCAATCTTTTTTGCCTTGTTTTGTTGATAATAGGCCTTGTCCCTTTCTCTTTTTGTCGCTGCTTTTCTTTCTTGCGCCGCCTTCTTTCGCGAAATACCTGAATTTAGATTGGACTCTTTTGTTTCCATCTGCTGCGGTTGAATTCCCTCAGTGTTGAAAATCGCGTAAAACATTTCACTGTTATGCAATAATCTGCCCCTGCAAACTCTGTATGGACTCCCATGTTATTGACTGTGTAAACAAACCATGTGCTTTCAAAGAGAAGCTGCGAAGGAGCGGATTTCGTGAAAGTTTTGGTGGTGTTTTCCGCCATATTCCTTCGTCACTTTCCTTCGTTACGGTTCATGAACACGGAAACAATGGCGGAAATTGTTTCTGCGTCGACCAAACGTAAATTTCTAGCGTTAGATCTAACGAAATGGGTTGAAACGTTCTGTAAATTTAGCTTAATACAAGCCCATTCCAGGAGAGGTGAGCTTGTTTACTCAACTTAACAAGAATCGCGTCTGACAACGGATCTACTGGTGGATATGTGATGGAATTAAGCTCAATATGGCCGTTACGAAATGTGTTTCTGCGCGTTTTATTTTGATCTGGAAAACATTCTACTTGACGATTCAACTTCAGCGTTGGTTTGTAAATATTATGATGTATGCCCATTACATTTTTGTTATTAGTTTGTTGCTTACACAGTCGAAATTATCATTATTGCTAGTTTTGCACACTATGGTTGTTTTAATAGTTGCGAGCGTTACATTGTTCAGTGATAAAAACAGACGTTTATAACTTGCGTTAGAATAAACCATTCCTGTTGCAAATCATACTGCCTGTTTCTTTTGTCATAAACTACTAACGGCCAAAAAATAGTGGCCCCATGTGCGTTCTATATTGAGATATTTCATTTTTTTTCTTCCGTCTGATACATTTCATGTTACGCGTTACACCCAGAAATTCACGCATTTTCAGGAAATATTTATTTTTTACAATTTTCACTTTGTCGCAAACCTTGTTTTCTTTACACCAAAATGAAGTAGGATAACTAAGCTTATATTGTGGAAAGTGTGAGATTTAGAGGTTAAACCTTCCCGAAGATATTCATTAGCAAAGGCACTTGAGTCCAAAATGGCGGCGTGACTGTGCTACTCATCTAATGCATATGCAACATTCCATCCGTTTATTGGAGACATTCTCTTCAAGTTGAATCCTGGTCCTGACACTAATCAAGTTAATCATTGTTATTCTAATCTGACCTTTTGTTTGTTGAATGCTCGTTCTCTGAGAAATATATCTGCATCCTTTTGTGATTATGTTCAAGATTGCAAAGCTGATATTTTTGCTATTACTGAAAGATGGTTAACCCAGAATGATGCTGCAGTCTGCAAAGAGATCACTCCTAATAGGTACAGATTGTTTCATTGTCCTCATACTGATCGTAGAGGGGGTGGTACTGCACTTTTATGTAGAGAGAGTCTCAACGTACGTTGACTGTCCACCGGTGAAAAGACATCTTTTGAGTTTTCTGAATATATGATTGGTGGTTTATCTTTACAGCTTAGACTTGTGATTGTGTACAGACCACCATATTCTGCTGCTCATCCCGTTACTTCAAGTACTTTTTTTCCTGAATTTAGTGAATACCTGGAATCATTGGTACCATCTAAAGTGCTAATTTGCATATCTGGTGACTTCAATGATCTTGATGTTAGTGATATTGCGGATACTGTTGCGTTTGCGGATCTATTGGAATTGTTGTCTTATTCAACATGTAAAATCACCTACACACGTAATGGGACATATTTTGGATCTGATAATTACTCACAGCTCTGACAATATCATTAAAGGTACACCTTCCCCAGATAGCTTTCTTTCTGATCACTGCTCAGTTTTGTGCTGTCTTAATATTACAAAAGTACAGGCTACTGTTAAACACATCAGTTTCAGGAAGCTCAAGTCCCTGGATTTAGTTGCTTTTAAAAATGATATTGCTAGTAGTGATTTGTGCAACATCGCTTCAAATTATTGTAATGAAGTTGCTGTATAACAACTGTATGCACTCCATTTTGGATCATCGTGCACCGATGACATCAAAAAGAGTGTTCACTTGTCCAAGCGCTCCTTGGATGAGTAGTAATGTCATAGAAGCTAAGGGTCAACGTCGAAAAGCAGAGAGAAAATGGAGATCTTCCAAATGCCAGTCTGATCTAGCTGTTTTTAAGAGAAAAAGGAACCATATGACTTTTCTTGTGAATGAAGCTAGGGGGTCTATTATAATACTCTCATAGCAGGAAATAGTTACAATCAAAAACATCTGTTTAAAGTAAGCAAGAAACTCTTGAATATCACAGGTACCCCATTTTTGCCACCACATGAAGACAAACGGAAATTAGCTAATGAGATGGGTATGTTTTTCATTAAGAAAATTGCCGATATTCGTCTAGACCTTGATAATCATGATAAGCAACAAGCTTCCATAGGCCACGATTCTAATGACATCGAAATTGATTCTCTACTCTTCAAGTTTAGTTCTCTGTCTCAAGAAGTTTGTTTGTGCTGTTAGACTTGAGTGTGGCATTTGACACCATTGACCATTGTATTTTACTGGAGAGACTTAAATCTGGGTTTAGGATTCGTGGTACAGCACTGTCATGGTTTGCATCTTATCAAAGTAACAGATCCCAGCAAATACTTATTAATGGTTCCCTCTCTATGAACTTTGAACTGTCTTGTGGTGTCTCTCAGGGCTCATGCCTCGGTCCATTATTGTTTGTATTGTATGCGAGCAAGATTTTTAAAATCGTGGACAACCATCTGCCAGGCATTCATTGTTATGCAGATGACAGCCAACTTTATTTGTCCTTCTGCCCCAATGTCAGTGTTAACCAAGATGTTGCTTTGGCTAGAATGGAAAGCTGAATTGATGATATTTGTAATTGGATGTTGAATGATAAATTGAAACTGAATGATGACAAGACTGAGTTTCTGATCATTGGTACATCCCAGCAACTCGCTAAAGTAACTATTTCCAGTCTCTGTGTTGGCAACTCAGCAATTACTCCCACATCATCTGCAAGGAACTTGGGCTCATGGTTTGATGCAAAACTCACAATGGCAACTCACATTACAAGAACATGCAACTGTACCTCTTACTACTTGTACAATCTGAGGAGGATAAGAAAATACCTGTCTAAAGAGAACACAAAAACTCTGGTCCATGCCTTTATCTCAAGCAGAATTGACTATTGCAATAGTTTATTGTATGGTGCTCCAGAATATCAAATCAACAAATTGCAATGTGTTCAACACGTGTGCTAGACTAATATGCAATGAAAGTAAATATTGTCGCATTACTCCTTAATTGATGGAGTTGCATTGGTTACCTATTAATTTAAGAATTGAATCTAAGATTGTATTAATTGTTTTCAAGATTTTTAAGGGTTTTGCACTGTCTTACTTGAGTTCTCTAATTACACGCATGTCGCGATGGGCGAGTGAGGACCACATTCACACAAACATAAACTCAACATGGCGGATTTTATTCTCAACATGCCTCTCGGTTTGTTTGCACGTGTTTTCGGGAATCCCGCGGGGGATCCCGTGTTACTTAAATCTCGCGGAGTAACGCTTCTCCGTGACAACGCAAGCCCGAGTCAAGATATAATTTAAGGAATTCCAGGGATAAGACCTTACTCAGTTATCCTAATTTTAAGTTTAAGGCAACACTTGGTGACCAGGCATTTATGTTTGTGGCACCTAGGCTATGAAATGATTTACCAAGGGATATACGAGAATCTAGTTCTATTAATAGTTTGAAATCGAAGCTTAAGACGTTTCTTTTCAAGAAAGCATTTTATACTTGATAAAGTTTTTGTAGTTATTTATTCATTGATAACGTTTAAATAGAACATTTCAAGTAATAATTAGTTGTTAGTTATGTGTTATATATCTTATTTATTATGAATCGTTTTTAATTGTTATTTTGTATTCCAATTATTATTATTTTTTTAAATTTATCTTTAGTTTATTGTAATTATTATTTTATGGCGCATTTGAATATTTACATAGAATTTGTGTCTTAGAAGTCAATAAATTATTATATTATTATCTGTACTAGGGATAACTTTTTTAAAGCATGAAACGCATGAAATTTTGTTGGTGGCTTGCTGTATGCCCTTGACTTTACATTGAACTGTTAATATTGTTGAAGCCATGATAACAGCTAAGTCAGTCAGTGTTCTTTCAAATGCAGTTCATGGTTCTGTGCTAATGGTAACTGTCTTTGGAGTTTTGAAGAAGACACTCGTTTTTAAGGGAGAGATATTATGAATAAAACATCTCAAAGTGGACTCTTTTTTAGAGGTGGATTGACCTGCATACAAGTGAAATTGATCCTTAATGAAATATAATGGCTATAAATTTTCACTGTTGTGTTCATTGTAGTTGAAGAACAACATTTGAGAAAAGACAAAAAAAATTCAAAACAGAAATATTGCAACATTGCATACCTGTATTTTTTTTTCCTGTTTTTTTTGTTCATATTTGCTTATTAGGTATAAAATGCTGAGTAAGGACATGCCCATACAATAAGAAGTAAAGGTTGTGCAAAGCCTTAAATGGGTGAAATGTGAGAGCACAAATAAGAACAACTTACAGTGATGTTGAAGAAGTTTATAACTGATTATAAAGGTTCTATCCATTCATTTAAGTAAATATAAATGTTGTTGTTGACATTTGCATTGTGCAGCTCAACATGAGATGTCATGTTATACTGATGTTGTAAATTATTTTTTGTCTAAGCTTGTATATTTGAAACATGTATTTGTGGAAATACAGTGCTAACAGCATATCCTGTTCAGAGGTTAATGTGTTTCTAAATGCACTGCAAGTTGACTGTGCTAAGTTATCTAATCCAGCTTCTTCATTAAGTCTTAGCTGTAATTTCGAATGTAAGGAAAACATCGAGCATCTAAATGTGCAGAAAAACTCACAAAAGGATATTGTCTTCGTCTAGAAACATAACTGAACTGCCTGTGACCTTGATGAATATTTGCACAGTTTAAAGGGTTGCATTTTACATGATAGCATAGGAAATCCAACTTACCTATCATGACTTGCATAGCTTGATGCAGCATAAGCTGATGTGAAAGTTCTATCCTATCTTAAATAGTTATGAATCATACCTTGAAAAAAATCAATCAACACATGGAAAAATACTAAATAAAGGACAACAATCTCTTCTTTA